AAATAATCATATCAACTTGTGGAAAATGGGCATCATATGACCCCTTTAACAATCCCTGCCATGCAATAAAAAAAGTCATGTGTTGTAACTAAAAAAATGCTCCCTAACGCACTTTCCAAGCCCATTCCTGAAGCCCCCAGAATGTGCCAAACAGCACAAAGTGTCTGCGGCTGTAGCTCGGGAATGTTTGCTCAAGTAATCATCTGTAGCCGCCTCTCAGCTCAGTGAGGTTTGTTTGCGCCCTTGATTCGGTTTGAGCACCACACTGGCTGTCTGCAACCCATATCAACATACATCCAGTTAGTAACTACGACAGAATCATATCTCTAACAATGAAGTGTGTATTTTATAACAAAGCACAAAAGGAGTCCATTAATACAATTACATTACAGGCTTTCTTGAGCAACACAATTTGTATTCCTAAGATATTCAGTGAAGCAGACAAATCATGCTGTGCATGCTGTTGTAGACTAATAAACCAGTAAGAGAACAGCAAATTGCTTGTGTTTTCAGTTCTGCAACAAATTAGTGCTTTTCGAAGAAGCTGAAAACGAACCCGGAATAAAGCTTGCACAACAGTGAGAAACTACAAAAGCTTTATTGCTGCATACTGTTTGGCAGATGCTTTTCGGGGAAGGTTGATTAGGCTGTACTAATTGCAAGGGGTAGAATCCACCATTCAGTTTTTGCATGAATATTTTAAAGATGAATCAGTATATTCACAATCAACCAAATTCTGACCTCAAACATGTAACTGAAATGCATTAAATAGAAATAAAGGTTCGCAAAGGGGGGCTTTGCAGCAATGCCACAGAGGAAGCATTTCAGGATCCCCAATGAACATTTCTATAAAAACTTCTTAAAATAAATCGTAGTGCAAAGAATATTAGGGCCCTATGAAAATGCGGACTGAATCGTGGAACGTGGAATGTCACAGAATTTGCCAAATTTCAAAACGCGATATGGACTAGAGTCTGTGAATATTGCATGCTCTGCATGTCTCTGTGTGAATGAATGGCGCAGACGTGCTGTTTCGGTTACTATACACATACTGAAGCGCGTGTGACGCTCGCTGTGTTTTTAGCCTCTGTTGCCTCAATATATGAGTACATGAACACATAAACATAATCTCTAGAACTACTCTGAGAGCATTTTACCATTTCTTTCGAGAAATACTATCATCATATCATATACAAACAGACACCGAAAGGTCTTAACAGCAACCCATCAAAATAAAAGTCCGGTTTAACTTGAAGAAACTTTGACAGAAATATATTACTTAATGTAATGTTAGTACTACTACTAATAATAAAATGATTATTAAAACATTATTTTTAAAGGAATATTTACCAGAAAAAGTATTTACCAGAATGTATTTAGCAGAAAAATATAAATACACAAAACACTATTTCTGAAAAAAAAATATACAGTATATATAATAAAATAATATATTGTTTATAAAATCAATTAATTATAGATGCTCTTGATTATTAAAATTTAATTAAACCACTAAAATGTAATTCAGAAAATTACAGAATTTTGTAAAAATAATTTTAAAAAAGAATAAATAAAAATGAATTCGAGAAAAAAATAAAACATACTTCATAGGGCCTCTTTTTTGTTAAACTCTTAATAAATTGCTCTCAAATAGTGTAAGTTTCATTGCTTTAATTAATTAGACATGATTTCTGATTAATAAATTTAACATTTTATTTAACCATTAAAATAGAGACTAGAAAAATTTTAACGGAAAAAACGAATTTGGAAAAAAATAAAACTGAATTTGGGAAAATATAAAATGGATTTCATAGGGCCTAGAATATATAAATAATGTAAAGAATATTTTTCCACTATAAAGAACCTTTTGTGCAATGGAAAGGTTCCATGGAGGTTAGATGACCATTATAAACTTAAATTTTTTTTAAGAGTGTATCAAATAAACAAATGCATAAATGATGATGGAAAAAAAACAGAAATGGTGTGTGCTGAGAAGTGCTGACAGATCTAAACTACCTGTACAGACAGAAGCAATCAGTCACTTTTCATAATTAGTTCAGTCAGTGCCAAGTTCATTAAACAAGAGTCTCTGAAGAGAGAAGAAGAGGAGTTAGCAATCATCAATGGTCTTTGTGAAGCTGCCAGATCGCAAAGTGGAGGTCACACCTACATAAAATTGTCATTAACAATAAGGCAAGGTGCAATCAACCTGATTTGAACAGGACAGGACAAATGTACAATTGGTATTCAGGTCATGATGATGAAACTCTAGGCTATAGATTTTTCTGTTTTGCACCTGAGTGGAAGATATACTCTTCACAATGGACTGCTATTTCCCTCACCCAGATCAAGTCTGTTCACAGTGCAGACAAAAACTTACCATGGTAACCATGGTGTCATGGTGTAGTTAACGTCACAACAACAACACATAGTATAACCCACTACTGTATAGTAAGTCTACATGTCATATATTTGTAATTTTGTATGTTGTTTATTTTTGTGATGAGAGTGCCTGCTAATACAACATTACTACAGTATTTTGATGAAAACGATGGTTAGTAAATTGTTTTAAACATCAATGCTGCACACAATGACAACGCTTCTCAAAGCTTCTTACATTGGAATATGTTATATAGATGTAGATTTTTTTTTAAGTGCAATAATTGCAATATATTTGGCAGGTAACTGTGGTTAACACCCATGGCAAGTCGTTGCGAAGGTGGTAATTTAGTTCCATTTACAATGAAAGGTTTTTCTATATAAATGCAACAATTTGTGCCTCTGCATCAGCAATAAAATATCATTACTTACATAATGTGATTTTCTTTTGCTGAATTTCTGTTTCTCAGCTGTATTTCATTCTCTCACAGGAAAAGAATTCACAAAAGGCATATAAGATTGCATATAGTGTTTAAAAATTATTTAAAGTCTATGCGCATTTTGGCCTGTTTCACTGAGGTCTTGAATTATTGAACCAGTTTTTATTTATTTATTTATTCATATTAATTTTTTTTACTTCCTGTATTAATAAACCTCAAAATGGAACCCTGTTACCCAAGTTATTGTAAAAAAATATATATAATAATAATAATAATAATAAATAAATAAAATATGTTTTTTATTATTTAGTATACTATTTAGGCTATTTATTATATGTTCCAAAACTATCTAGCCAGGCTGTAAAACAGATTCATTTAGGCTTCATGTGCCAGTTTGTTACCTGTTGTGGTGATTTTTGTATTTATTTTATTATTTCTATCTAGTTCATTCTAATGTTAATGTTTATTTAATCACCCCTTCCATTCAACATCAGTTAAAAAAATACGTTTATGGTCCACTTTTTTTAGTGGAAACTGGCATATCAACTAATTTTGGCACATCATTTGTGCTGAATTTATGGTTTTCAGCTCTTTTTTTTTTATTGCATTGCTAAGAACATACACCATCAATGCCAGGGGTACATACAATTGAGAGTACAAATGCAGGTTACAAAATCAGGAAAATTTTAAGGACAGTTTTAAGGGCTTTGGAGTTGCTGGATGTAAGGAGAGTGTCCAGATGGGATTTAAGGGTTTTCAGCTCGTCTATTTCTCTTAGTTTTATAGAGTTTATAGAGTAAACGTCACATTTGTATGCACAGTTATTAAACAGACATTCGACAATGGACTGCTATTTCCCTCACCCAGATCAAGTCTGTTCACAGTGCAGACAAAAACTTACCATGGTAACCATGGTGTCATGGTGTAGTTAACGTCACAACAACAACACATAGTATAACCCACTACTGTATAGTAAGTCTACATGTCATATATTTGTAATTTTGTATGTTGTTTATTTTTGTGATGAGAGTGCCTGCTAATACAACATTACTACAGTATTTTGATGAAAACGATGGTTAGTAAATTGTTTTAAACATCAATGCTGCACACAATGACAACGCTTCTCAAAGCTTCTTACATTGGAATATGTTATATAGATGTAGATTTTTTTTTAAGTGCAATAATTGCAATATATTTGGCAGGTAACTGTGGTTAACACCCATGGCAAGTCGTTGCGAAGGTGGTAATTTAGTTCCATTTACAATGAAAGGTTTTTCTATATAAATGCAACAATTTGTGCCTCTGCATCAGCAATAAAATATCATTACTTACATAATGTGATTTTCTTTTGCTGAATTTCTGTTTCTCAGCTGTATTTCATTCTCTCACAGGAAAAGAATTCACAAAAGGCATATAAGATTGCATATAGTGTTTAAAAATTATTTAAAGTCTATGCGCATTTTGGCCTGTTTCACTGAGGTCTTGAATTATTGAACCAGTTTTTATTTATTTATTTATTCATATTAATTTTTTTTACTTCCTGTATTAATAAACCTCAAAATGGAACCCTGTTACCCAAGTTATTGTAAAAAAATATATATAATAATAATAATAATAATAAATAAATAAAATATGTTTTTTATTATTTAGTATACTATTTAGGCTATTTATTATATGTTCCAAAACTATCTAGCCAGGCTGTAAAACAGATTCATTTAGGCTTCATGTGCCAGTTTGTTACCTGTTGTGGTGATTTTTGTATTTATTTTATTATTTCTATCTAGTTCATTCTAATGTTAATGTTTATTTAATCACCCCTTCCATTCAACATCAGTTAAAAAAATACGTTTATGGTCCACTTTTTTTAGTGGAAACTGGCATATCAACTAATTTTGGCACATCATTTGTGCTGAATTTATGGTTTTCAGCTCTTTTTTTTTATTGCATTGCTAAGAACATACACCATCAATGCCAGGGGTACATACAATTGAGAGTACAAATGCAGGTTACAAAATCAGGAAAATTTTAAGGACAGTTTTAAGGGCTTTGGAGTTGCTGGATGTAAGGAGAGTGTCCAGATGGGATTTAAGGGTTTTCAGCTCGTCTATTTCTCTTAGTTTTATAGAGTTTATAGAGTAAACGTCACATTTGTATGCACAGTTATTAAACAGACATTCGTCTTACCTTGTATGTGCTGATTAACCACATTCTCCAGCCGATCCAGTCGCTCTATAATCCGCAGAGTTTCTCCTTTCCGGTCGCCCTCCAACTTTTGGGCTGGGACAGGCATCGGCACTTTGATGTACACATTAGCAATGTAATTAGTCACCCATCCGACGTACAAAAGACACACTATGTTGGTCATGCCACTTAGTATCACACACGTAGACACCAAAGTTTTGGTTCTCCTGGTGCAAGCCATTCCGACATCCCTCCATATAGAGTCCGAGACACAGCGGACAAGTGCGCCTGTCCTCAACTCTGTATGTACTCCGATGGAGAATAACGCGCCTGACGCAAACACTACAGTCCGCGCTTCATTCTGCCACTGGGCTGTTCAGCTCTGACAGGTTCCAGCGACTTGAAATGGGCAACTATCGTCTTGTTCCAACACGAAACGCCGCGTCCTCCATCTGCAGCGCCGAGCAGCGCTATAGGAAGGAGAGCGAAGGTGCGCGAGTATGTGTGTGGTTTGATCCTGAGCCTGTTGACCAATGAGATGAGCTCTAATCTATGGAACCAATTGCACAATGATCCGGTAACAGTAAGGAGGCGCAGAGACTCTTACTGTTTCATAAAGTAACTTTTTACTGTTTCATAAAAACAAACATGACTTGAGCGAGCAAAATAAAGGAGCACATTGCATTTTAAACTCTAATATAAATAATAGGCTACACAGAGCAGATTGAGGAGTGCTGTAGCAAAGCATGAACACACCATCGATTTAACTAGTTGGAAATGATCAGGGAAATCACTGTGTGCCTTATTAATACCCTCATGATTACAAAAGTTGTGAGATTGTTTATAAAGTATATAATAACATTCATAATAACTTGTATAGGTATTTTTCGGGTGGTCTTTTATTATTTAGGAATTAAGTAAGTAAAGGATTTAATGGAATGCGGGTAAAGAAAGAAGAATAGGCAAAACACAGGAATATGAACTTTTGTAAAACAATTGTACTTATTTGCAAACATTGTTATTTTGAAACATGCACACATTCATTCTTATTCATTTGGCTAAATGTTTCTTGTCTCGTCACATTCAGTTACACTCTTAAAAATAAAGGTGCTTCACGATGCCATAGAAGAACCTTTTTGTCTAAATGGTTCCATAAAGAACCTTTAACATCTGAAGAACCTTTCTGTTTCACAAAAGGTTCTTTGTGGCGAAAGAAGGTTCTTCAGATTACAAAAAGGCAAGAAAGAGATGGTTCTTTAAAGAACCTTTGACTGAATGGTTCTTTGTGGAACCAAAAATGGCTCTTCTATGGCATCGCTTGAAGAACCTTTTGAAGCACCTTGATTTTTAAGAGTGTACTTGTGAATTACCTGAATCGCGTAAATGATTTAGCCTATATTTTCATTTCAAAATGGCGAAATTTGACATAAAATAGAGTAGTTTGCATCATTAAATATTACCTAGTGATGCAAACTACTCTACTCTCCCTAGATAATGGTCACTAGATAACAGTTGTCAAATATTAAATGTTTAGCTACTTACAAACTACCTTGCACTCTTTCACGGTTAAATGGATAGTCTACTCAAAAATACAAATTCTGTCATCGTTTATTCACTCTCCAGTTATCTCAGTTGTTGAGCGCAAAAGAAGATATTTTGAAGAATGTTGGTAACCAAGTAACCACTCAGTAACCAACCACTGACTTCCATAGTATGGAAAGAAAAAAAACTATGATATGGAAGTCAATGGCTATACCGATGACAGAATTTTCATTTTTGGGTGAACTATCCCTTTAAAAACTGAAGCATCATGCTAGGATTCAGGTTTGGTATCTGTGAACAGTAAAGCCCTGGCATCTTTTGTTTGAATAATTTTTAATATTGCAATATAACATAAATTTACATACAACAGGTCTTTTATAAGTGTTGATATTTAGTACAGAGGCACTTTTAACTGTATCATTCCATTTGTCCATATCTGTGCATTCCAGAAGGACAAGGCTTATTCACACCAAGACAAATGTTTGGTGAGAAAATTTGGTCCGATAAACACTTTCATTTGAATGAATGCTGTACAAGCCATTTTTATGCAGTGGTCAGAACAAACGAATCACATGCAAAGATCAAAACTCATTTTCATGCCAAATATCCGTGGTGGTATCAACGGGCCTTCAGTTTGTGCACTGGTGGGGATTTTTCAGTGACTTTTTCTGCAGGTTACATCCTTACTACTGCAGTAGGTGGCGACACATTTATTACGACTGAGTCACTCAATTATTCACCCTTCATCAGTTCATTAAAATAAATCACGGATTTGTTCAGAAAGTAAACAACACTACTAGCAGAAGGCATTATTGAGCCAAGTAAATTAGATTACCACAAAAAAAAATCCAAACTTAAACAATAAATGTTGTTGGAATTCCAAACTAAATTGAAAATGTCCATGTTTTAGGTTGCAACACCAGCTGTCTTTATACTTGACATTAATTTACACATTTTTGAATAAGTTGTAAATTATAGTAGACTTTGTTGTAGCTGATATACTAATATTATATCAACCCATGAAATACAAATCACACAAAAAATTACAAACAGTGTTACTTACCTCAACATTGCACAACAGAGGGTCCTTGCTTGTGTGACAAACAGGATTCTGGCTCTTGGGAAGTTGGGTGGAGGAAATCATTACTTGTACGAGAAGCCAAGCTTAAGTACACACAATGCACGATTGTAAGCAACAGTATACGTAGTTGAATACAGAAGCTAATATCAGTAGCCTCTCTTTTAGATTATGGATATGTCAAATTAGGTAGATTTGAGAATTACATTTTCCATGCTTCCAATTTTGTTTCGGTGCTTACTGCATAATAGTATTGTTTATGTGTGTGGTCAAAAAATAATAATAATACAAATAAAAATATATAAATAAAATGTATTTTTATGAATTGTTAATATTTTGTGTATAATCTTCCAGAGCACTGCTGCTATCAGCAAAAGCACTAATATGTAAGAGTAGGAGGAATAAAGACCTATCATAATCTTGTATTTTATATCCACCTCATGGGTGCAGTCTGAGGAAACTCATAAAGAAATGGTGTTGATTTTATCTCATTAAATAAAACCCATATACACACATGAGTATATAATGTTTGATTCTACTGGGGCATCAATAGTGGTGTCTTAAATAGCTTCGAATAAATGAGCTACCAACAAAAACATTGCAATAACATTTACAGCTACTGTGGTACTGTAGCTGCTACTTATTGTCTGATGTAAACCTTTAAAGCAACAAGAAGAAATGTATCACTCTCTTTTTTTCCGAGAGTATATGGAAAATTGATTTAGATATCCCAATAAGCCATAACTTTCTACAACTGCAAGAGGCACCTGCAAATGGTCCTCCCCAAGCTCACATTACTAAACAGAACTGCATTACTTTTACAATCAATGTTATAATCAGCAGTCAACAGATGGAACCTTTCACAGAGGACCTGCTGCTGCCCCGGATCTCTTCTCTGTAAATCAATCAGTTACAGTTTTTTACAATCATTTTTGCACTAATAACAGAACCTTCATGTCATTTTTCAAAACTCTTGACACATAATTCACAACTGATGATCAAAATGCACATTTTTCAAAACACTTTTCCAAATGCTTGGATACAATACACATGAACCAAAGATCTTTTGTTCACTGAACTAAAATAACCGGTTCAAAATAACATCAAAGCATTACTATTTCAAAATGCAACGCACACATTACATCTGAATCGAGTGTCTATTCATTTCATTACAATGATCTAACTATCAATTGATACAACTGCTCAAAATGCTACTTAACTGTTGCATTACTCTTGAAGCATAGTTTTTATGGAAAATGATGAACAATATTAAATGTTTAGATTATGAAAGTGAAGCAACCGAGTATGTTCGGGTATGATCAGTTTCAAGATGCCTGTTGTTGGGAGAAAAAAACAAACCCCAAAAATTATATATCATCGTTATCAGTATTTGTTTTTCCTACAATACTGTAAATGTCTTTTTAGAGGGTGATAGAGCTGGAAGCTGATGAAAGCCATTCGTATTTTTGGATGAGGCAGGCTTTACCCTGGCCATGACATGGAGGAGAGGCTGAGAGTCCAGCGGTTGAGAGGGGCCCAGAACGATGTTCGCTGGGGGGCCTGACCACCCCCCACTGAATGTGATTTTGAGGCGGCCCCACAGCAAAATCAGTGCAATGGGCCCAAAATTCCTAACAAAAGCACTGATTGCAATCATGGTTTCAGGCCCATCCACAATTTATCACCTTGTATTTACCCCCATACTCCCTTTTCCTTACTGTAACCCAACTGAAGAATTTTTCTCCACATGGAGGTGGAAGGTTCACAATTATAGGCACCCTCACAAACAAGTCAATCTTCTCCAGGCCGTGGATGATGCGTGCAATGACATCACAGGAGACCAATGTCAAGCCTATTTTTGCCATGCCAAAAAATATATTTTCCGAGATTTTAGCTAATGAAAACATCCATTATGATGTGGCCAAAAACCTGTGGCCAAATTCACAAGACAGGGTTGATCGTTTTTTCTTATCTTTTTTTCTCATCTAGTTTTTTTCTAATTTCAAGTTTTTTGAAAAACCTGCTGTGAGTTGTTTATTTCATCAATAATTTTCAAATTTTGTTTAATGATTCCAATGTATGTACGTTTCTCTCTAGTCTATTACAATGATGTATGCATGTGTAGAACCATAATGAAAGCTACATATATATACTGTATATATATATATATACAGACAGACACTGAAAAAGCTATGCTAAAAATTTATTTTTTTATTTTTTGGCTAAAATTGCCAAAAGCTTTAAAAAAATATGACGTATCTTTAATCATACCCACTTAAAATGCACAGCAGGATACAGTCTTTAAAAGTAAAGAGTCTTGATAAAATATCTTGATGATTGTATTGTGCTCTTATAATAAATGTAGCATTTAATTGTTAGAATCCATAGTGTATTTTCTATGCTGTTTACTTTACCTCTGTATCTGTAAAACTACTAAACAGTGAAACTATGGGTATCTTGTGTGTGGGTGATCTAAAGTAATGTTCCTATGATATTTTATAATAAATTAGTTTTTTGAACCAATACTTCTGCAAATGCAAGGCTTCTTTAAAGATATGAACGCAATATGCAACGTTTTGAACATTGGACAGCCTGTGTTACAAATAATGACGTGTAAAGTGCAAAAATGATTGTAAAAAACTGTAAATGGTATTTCCCCAGAATATATATATATATATATATATATATATATATATATATATATATATATATATATATATATA